GTAGCAACCCTGCTAATTCGAATTAATTTCAGAATAATTTCTGAATATTTGAATTTCCATTTATATAATTAATACTATTTATTCAACAAATTGGATTGGTTAATACGAGTTGATTTTCTGTTATGATAAAATTGATGAAACAATAGCCGGTCCAATAGCTGCTTCAGCGGCTGCAACAGCTATAACAAAAATGGAGAAAATATCTCCTCTTAATTGACGATTATCAAAAAAACCAGAAAATGTTACAAAATTTATATTAACTAAATTTAATATAAGTTCAAGACACATAAGTGCTCTAACCATATTTCGACTTGTGATCAATCCATAGATACCGATGGAAAATAATAGGCACTCAAAACAAGTACATATTCAAGCATCATTAACCAACTCCTTATCAATCTCGATTCATTTCAATATGAACAATAATTCAAGCGATTCAATTCTAACAACAGGGAATATATTGGTAATAGATCTACCTAAAGCTAAAGCATTTCTATTTTAGACAGGAATTCAAATTAAAGGATTATAACATTCATTTCCGTTGTTTTTGTTTGAATGGAATTCCTAGTTTTAAAGATTTATTAATTACGAGCTATAGCGATTGCACCTATTAAAGCGATTAAAAGAATTATTGAAATGAGTTCAAATGGAAGAAAAAAAATATGTTGATAAATGAATTCCAATTTTTGGCTATTACTTATCAAATCTTGCTCTATAATCTAGTTTGATTTTGTAGTCCAAATAATCTCATACCATGACGTATCTAGAATAGTAGTAATTAGTGAAATAAAAAGACTTGTACAAACTATTGAAGTAACTCCATCCCTAACGGTCCAAAGATGAAAATCTTTGTAATATTCTGAACCAGTCATGAACATCACAGCAAAAATGATTAAAATATTTATAGCTCCCACATAAATAAGGAGCTGCACAGCAGCTACAAAATATGAGTTCGATAGAATATAGAATAAGGATATACAAAAAAGAACCAATCCCAACGAAAAGGCCGAAGAAATTGGATTGGGAAGTAGTACTACTCCTAGACTTCCTAATATAAGACCCGATCCTAGAAAGACTAAAAGAAAATCATGTATTGGTCCAGGTAAACCCATTTGATCTTATAGAAAAAAAAATAGATAAATCGAAATATTTCATGACTTTGTTGACCTGACCAGGAAAAAATAAGTTATCTTTGAGGATACTTCTTAATTGAATTAAATTAGAATCGGTATGATGTGGATTGATGTAAATACGGTTATGGGACTACTCTTATTCTTTATCCGAAAGAGGAGTTTGAAACTCTCTATTTTGAAATCATTAGTTGAATAGAAATCAATTTTCAATCCAAATTAAGTCACGATTCTCGCCAACCAACCTATTGACCAAGCAAAAAACCTCATTCTTTTGGATCCAAAAATGATGGAATGGTTTTTGAATCAAGGATTTTTTCCATTTTGTATTTGACACCGATAACCGACCTAAAGCAGTTTGATTATAATTCAATTCGTGATGATTATAAGTAGAAAGTTCATATTCTTCAGTCATTGATAAACAATTTTTTGGACAATACTCAACGCAATTACCACAAAATATACAGATTCCAAAATCAATACTGTAATTAAGTAATCACTTCTTTCGAATATCCATTTCCAATTTCCAATCAACAAAGGGTAAATCATAGGACTTGCATGAACACATACTTCACAAGCAATGCATTTATCAAATTCAAAGTGGATTCGCCCTCGAAAACTTTCCAATGTGATCAATTTTTTGTAGGGGTATTGAATAGTTATAGGTAAACGATTCACATGGGACAATGTAATCATGAAACTTTGACCAATGTACTTTGCAGCTCGTATTGTTTGTTGACCATAATTCATGAACTCAATTACCATAGGAAATATATCATAAATATCTATAAATAATTTTTTACTTGTTTCTTTTTCTTGTTTGAGACAAGTTGTGAATATAGAATATTCTATTCCTTTACAGTGAAAGAAGTTGGAATGAAGTTGTTAATAATAGATTACATAGAGAAATAGGTAAAAGAAATTTCCACCCAAGATTTAATAGTTGGTCCATTCTCAGTCTCGGTAAAGTCCATCTTGTTGCAATAGAAATGAACAAGAACAAATAAGTTTTAGCTAATGTAATAAGGATATCGATTATTGTTCCAAAAACTTTACCTCTTTCAAAAAGCTCAGGAACGAATATGTACGGAATAGAAAGATTCCAACCCCCCAAGTAAAGAATTGTTACAAATAATAAAGAAACTAGTAGATTCAGATACGAAGCAACATAAAATAAACCAAATTTGATACCTGAATATTCGGTTTGATAACCTATTACTAATTTCTCTTCTGCATCTAGTAAATCAAAAGGTAATCTCTCACACTTGGCTAGAGAAGAAATTAGAAAAACGATAAACCCTATAGGTTGACGCCACAAATTCCACCCCCAAAAACCATATTTTAATTTGCGCTTCAACTATATCAACTGTACTTGAATTGTTAGATAATCACAGTCGATGATAACATCACTGTTCCCATCACTATTACAGAACTGTACATGATATTTTCACCTCATACGGCTCCTCCGAGGTTGCAAATAAATCTAAGTACCTTTCGACATTATTTATCTTGATATGTTTATAGGATAGATAGAGATTCAAACTCTTACCCTAAGGTAGATCAATGGAATTATGTCTGCTATTTCTAAAAATATATATTTCTAATAAATAAAAGTGCTTCTGAATTGATCTCATCTTTTAAGAATTTTCATTTTTCTATGTTGATTAATAACTTTATCCTTGAATTAAAAAAGAGTTTTTTTTTTTTTGAGGAATATTACATAGCTATTTCAACCTTTCATTTTCCATTACGAAAAAGAGTTAGACATCGCATTAGTTCATGCATCATGACAAGAATTATATCTCTCTAAATAAAATGGGTGTATAGGAAAGAAAAAATAAAAAAAGATCTCTTTTTTGCAATTCTATTCTTTCGAGTTTATTTCATTCTTATTCTCCTTTCTCAAAAAAGGGGGACATTACCAAAGTAAAAGATTACTTCGTTCTTGATAGTTATTTACTTAATCAGTGGATAGGAACATACTCTGGATCAAAATCACGGGGAGTACTTCTTAATCATTTCTACTAACTTAACGCCCAATTTGAATTCCTTTTAGGTACATCCTGTTAGATAATTTACAGAATCTTCATTATTAATCCTTTGCGTATCCTGTTCTTCCTAACCATCCACTCATTTTTGTTAACCTTCCATTACGGTAATACATCTAAGTTAATAGATAGTAAAAACTCCATACAGTTGATGTTTTGAACCTGTTTCAAGCCATGATGCCTAATCAACCAATTTTGGTGTAAACAACCTCGACTGCTTTGCTTATATTTACTTTCATTTCATTCTTGTACATGGGAAATGAGATTCAATCCCTTTAACTGCAAATTCAAAAGTAATTTTATTTCACTCATAAAACTATCTAGTTTAGTTCATCAACTCAAATTCTGAATAAAAAAAAGAAAATATATATATTCAACTCATATAACTTTCTTACTAGAAAGAAAAGAAATAGGGGAAATTTTATGTCTCACCGAATCACATAGAGATATTGATAATACACATAGAGTTAATGGTATTTCATAACTAATTGATTGAGCAACAGCTGATAAACCACCTAAAAAGGAATATTTATTATTTGATCCATATCCCGACATAAGAAGTCCAACGGGAGCAAGACTTGAAACAGCGATCCATAAAAAAAAAAAAACTAATACTAAGATTTGCTAGAATAAGGCGATAACCAAAAGGAATTACTGAATAACTTAGTAAAATGGATATGACTACTATGGATGTTCCAATACTGAATAAACAAGTATCCCCTCTAGATGGAAAAAGATTCTCTTTGAAAAGTAGTTTTACCCCATCTGCTAGAGCTTGAAGAATTCCTAAAGGGTCGGCGTATTTAGGTCCAATATGTTGTTGTCTCCCTACAGATATTTCTCTTTCTAACCAAACAATTACTAGTACACCTAGTGTGATTCGTAGTATAAGAGTCAAAATAAGGATAAGCACCCATATGATCCCATAGACTTATTTAAAGAATTCCAATCTGGAAAACAAATGGATGGCTTGTAGTTCTGTTGTATTATCAATTATCATTTCAACGATCATCTTCTCCCATAATGATATCTATACTACCTAATATCGTCATAATATCATCCAATTTCATTCTTTTAACTAACTGAGGCAGAATTTGCAAGTTGATAAAACCCGATGGGCTAATTTTCCATCTCCAAGGAAAAACACTCTGATCTCCTATCAGAAAAATTCCCAATTCTCCTTTTGGTGATTTGACTCTTACATAAAGTTATTGTTTGGACAAATCAAAAGTTGGAGAAGGTTTTTTACTAATAAATGGATATTCAAAATCATTCTATTCAGTATCTTTTACTCTATCAAAGCATCGAATTTCTAAATTCTCAAAGGGCCCCTTGGAATTCCTTCCAAAGCCTGTTGGATGATTTTTATGGATTCGGTCATTTCACCTATTTGTACTAAATAACGAGCTAATGAATCCCCTTCTTTTGCCATTGAACCTCCCAATCAAATTTGTCGTAACACTCATAATGATCAACGAAGGTCCCATTGTATTCCAGAAGCTCGTAGCATTGGTCCTGATAAACCCCAATTTAGTGCTTCTTCTCCTCCAATAATGCCAACGCCCTCAACTCATTCTAAAAAATAGGATTCCACGTAATAAGCTTTTGATATTCAGCAACCCCTATTAAAAAATAATCGTAAAAATCCAAACATTTATCTATCTATCCATCCATAAGGTAGATCAACAGCTATTTCTCCAATACGAAAATAATTATACATCATTCGCATACCGGTGGCAGCTACGAATAGGTCATATATCAATTCTCATTCTTGAAAAATATATTAGAAAGCGGTTTGTGCCCCAATATCTGCCATAAAAAGTCCAAGCTATAACAAATGGGAAGCTATACGACTCAACTCCAACATAATGGCTCTGATATAGCTAGCCCTTTTAGGTACTTGAATATTACCTAGTTGTTCGGGTCCATTTACGGTTATTGCTTCTGTGAACATAGTAGCTAAATAATCCCAACATGTTACATAAGGTAAATATTGTATAATTGTTCGATTTCTCGCAATTTTATCCATTCCTCTGTGTAAATAACCCAATATTGATTCACAGTCAATAACATCTTCACCATCGAGAGTAACGATAAGTTGAAGAACACCATGCATTGATGGTTGATGAGGACCCATATTGACTATCATTAGGTCTTTTCTTGTAGTTGGTGCAATCATAAGTTTTTTTCCCGAGTCATTCTTCCATGTATTGCTCAAAGTAAAAAGAAGTTCATCAAAATTGAAACGCATAAGTTTAAATGATATCACTCTTTAAATTAATGAGTTTTTATCTCTCGAATATCCAACCGATCAATTAATTCTTTATAACGTACTCTATTTTTTTGACAAATAAGCTAGTAATTGTTGACGTTTTTTGAAAAATTTTCACCAACCTCTCTGAGATGACTAGTCTTTTTTGTGCAATTCCAAATGTGAAGTAAGTCTCCTTGAAGTGATACAAATTTTGCCAAAATGAACCAAAGCATTGGAGTTTGATTGGAAGAAACCTAAACCAAGTTCGGGTCTTCGGGAAGCTCATACGGGTGGCATAATTGATGGATCGAGGCACGGAGCATACTATGTTGAATTCCATGAGCTAAGTGACAACTTTCGTGTTGGGGTCGAAGTCCGAAAGCCTATGAAACAACGTGATTCAAGCAGTTGAAGAAGGGACCAACCCATAACTCCATGCGACCACACCGTGTCGTAGGCATGCGGTCTTACAGGTGGCTACCGAAACTCAAGAGGCGGTAACATCTTCAACCATGCAATCGCACCAAGTTCTACCATGCAGTCACATGGGCAAAACTGAAGACGTGAATTTCCAATTTTTGCGAGAATTTTAATTTGATTCAATTTCTTATTTTTGACAAGTTTCATTATTTTAGGACTCTAGAATTTCGTGGTTTTTCCTTATTTCCTAGGGTAGTATAAACTAGTTTCTATCTTTCATTATTGAATAGACTTTGATTTGAGAATTAATTCAGAGAGGCGAATTACTTCCAAACCTTTGTTTTTCGGGACTTTGAACTTATCAAGGGATCCGATTGGGATTTCTTGTGGCCTACGCAACCTTGGGTGAGGTTCTTAAATTGTGTAACTAAGAGGCCTTCAATTTAATATATCATTGGTTGCCTAATTCACCATTTAGGAATTAAATCCATAAACATCAAATTGGCATTCTTGGGATTGGTGTTACTCTCGTGTGGGTTCGATAGTGGTCGTTGCTATCCGGGTTTGCATCACTCCTTATCTTAGTGGTGAAACTGAATACTTGAAATTCAATAGACCCTCTATTTTCTTCATTTTCAAACTGAATACTTGAAATTCAACAGACCCTCTGTTTTCTTCATTTTCTTTTTGAGAAATAACCGAAATGAATGAATTTCTTACCATAAAAAAAAGCCTCCTCTCCCTTTTTACAGATATGGATTTTAACGATCAGTAATAATAATGTCATTTATTTTAATGTGGTATATACAATAATCTAATTCAAATTTCTTTATGAACTCCTAATTTTATCAATTCAAATGAATCAATCCAATAGAAAATTAGATTTAGATAGGGAGAGAAAAAGATTGGCACATTTTCATATTCACAAAAGCGAAGAGTTTAGACCTAAAATGAAGAGGATTCTATTGATTCATTTCTAGATCAAATTGATGCATTATTCATTTAGTGTTGGATATTTAGAATGAAATGTAAGACAAGACGTGTGATATGTGTATTTATTTTCTTTCATATATCCTATATAGTAGAGGATATATAGGAAAAATGAACTATCAATGAATTTTCAATCATGGATACAAATGTATCCTAACATACTGAAAGAACTGCCATTATTGGTATCAAACCAAGAGCAATTCATACAAGCTAAATCTTCTAATCAAAAATTAGGCCAAAGAAAGAACTTCAATTTCATTAATTGATTTATCTCTCCATCGAGGTGAATACTATTACCTAGAACTTGGCTGGTATTCTTTTCATTGCAAAATGCAGGATTTCTATCTACATCATTCCTATTCTTTCAATTGAAACAAATTAGAATTCTTAATTTTCTACAACGCCTAAGTGAGAAAATATTTTCAGGAACAAGCAAATTCAAATGATTTTTGTCTCTATTTCTTGTTATTCTTTCATGTGGTGGAATAGATTCATCAAAATTATTCTTAGCAACATATCTTTGCTCTCGGTATCTTTGATTAGTTTGGTGCTTACTCTTATGAACCAACAAAATACCGAAGGTTTGATACATAATAAACTATTCGTCCTTTTTTACAAATAAACGAATGGGTTCAATAATCAATATTCCCCTTTTCATCAATTCTAAAAGAGTTAATTCTTCTGAATCAGCATTATATCCAAACTCATTTCTCCCCTTTGACTTGAGGATATAGAATTTTTTCTTGGATCTATTAGCCTAAGCAGGAAACAATATCCCTTAATATTATTGATCACTCTTTGATTCAAAGTATCGTCCCTTCTCAATTGAAAAGGCAAATAATGTTTCAGGAACAAATCTAGTTCTGCTTCCGTGTTACTTTTGTATTGTTTTTTTCTTTTTACCTTTTTTCATGTCCGATCTCGCATAATCTTCTTCAATATCTTTTTGTTGGTTTGAAAGAACGGATCCAAGATCCCTTGGCCTGTGGTTTTTTTTCTTCTTAGTTTCGATTCTTTATTTTTTTATTCGATGGTATCAAAAAACTTCCCTTTTGCTTTTCATTAATCTTTTGATTTTGATTCTCATTACTATTTTCATTTCTATTCAAATTTAAAAGAAGTAATTTACTTGGTATAAACCAAGATTTCATTTTGTATGTATTATAAATTAACAAAAATTCTGGAAAGAACCAAAGTTCCAGATTCAATATGGGATGCTTTAGTATTTTTTCATTCATCCCCATCCAATCAAAAAAAAAAAAAAACTTTTGGGGAGTTTGGTAAATTCATTTCTGGAATCATAAGATAAAAAAATATATTTTTTTGATCAATTATTTGATAATTATTAGTAACAATTTGAGTATTTTGATTACTATTGGCATCGATCGTGATCCAGGCCCCAATATCGACTTTTTATCTAAGATCAAAATTGATAATTTTCCAATCCAAATACTTCTTATCGGGAGTTTTTTCAATATCGCCCTTTCCTAGATAATTATTGATAGGGATACTCCTCAGCATAACAAAAAAAGTTTCTTTATATGTATTGTAATTATAAGAAATCTCTTGATTCTTATTTCCTTCAAACGGCGATCTAGAAAGAAATGAGTCCTTTTTATTTTCAGAAGTAATAGATTTATATGATAAAAGATCATATTTATAGTATTTTTGAAAATTATCTTTTTGATTCAATAATGAATAGACTTTCAAAATATTTTCTTTTTGGGAATCAATTAATTGGTCTTTTTCATATAAATTCCATTTGCTGAAATTTTTCTTTTTAACCATACGACGTCGATAAATCGTATTGATAATGCCCTCTTAACTAGCTTTTCCATTGATTCATTTCAGAACTCGGAAGTCTGTTATCCTTTAATTTTGAATGAACTATTCCTTATGTTTCAAAAGAATCCTTTATTTCAGGCTTAAGAAAAAAAGGGATTCCTTGATATTTAAGAAATGATTTTAATTTATACAAGTTAATAACTTGGGTTGGAAATAATTTGTAAAATACATATGCTTGTGATAAGTACGATAAGTCATAAAAAAATATGTGCATTTGTCTTACTATTACTAAAATTATAAAGTGACTTTTTTATAGTCGAAATAAAATTAATTGGATTTTGATTTTTTAATTAATTATTTCTTGACTTCTTTTATTATTGTAAATGGATTTATTCATAATTTTTTTTGTTGATTCAAGAAATAATTTTCTCTTCATTCTAGGATTATTAATGATGGATAAAAATATATTTGTGTAGATTCTTTCAATGAAAAATTTAAAAACAAAAGTTAATTTAGAAATTAATCGAGCATTTATTCTTTTTAATATTTGCCATTTTTCTAATCTTTTAGCATTATAACTTGTTTTGTTGAGAGTAATATTTATTTCCGGAGTTACTTTTTTTTCTCTTTTTAATTCTTTCTATTTGATTTCTAATTTTATTTGTTATATCAGTTAGATCCTTCATTTTTTCTGTCAATGAAGAATTTGTCCAATCTGGAGATGCAATTTGACTAAATGATTTATGAATCAACTGATTGCTGATTATGGGATCTCTTTCTTTTTTAGTTTCACTTGATTCATATACTTCCACTTTTCTTGATCGAAATAAGAGAATTTGATTTACTTTTAAAAGTTCTTTTCTTATTTTTTTTTTTTTTTAAAAAAAGACACTTTTGATAACACATTTTTTTGTTTCTTTTGAAACTTTTCGAAGTAATTTCATTTTTCCTTTAAAAATTTTTAGAAGTAGAAAATATTTCTTTTGAAATTTTCCAATTTTTTTTCAAGTTACTTAAAAATGGGTTCAGAAAAAGAGGGTCGTTTTTGGGGAGAACCAAAAGGAAGTTCAGTTTCCATTCCCAAAACTGTTAAAAAACAAAAATCGTCTTTTTCTTTTTTTTTTTTTCATTATTAGATCTTTATGAGAGAATCGGAGTTTAGATCTGTGACAAGGTTTCAAACAGAAAGGAAATAAGATTTTTATCAGAATACCATCTGTCAGCCAATTTTGTGGAAATTCTGTTTCGGACAATTGAACACCGTTATAGGTACATTTAACATGCATCCCCCTATTCCATTCCTCTAGATCCTCATACCATTCAGAAAGTTGCAATAATAACATACGTCCAATATTTTTCTCTATTATCAATGAAGGTAATAGAATATATTTTCTAAAAAGAGATTGAGTTACTAACTTGGAACCCCGTTTTACTTGCGCAAATGGAATGGTATCCCAGGCCTCTGCTATCTCTATTCGAGCGTTCTCCTTTCTTTTGTTCTCTTCTTTTTTGTCTTTCTCTTTTTTTTTCTTCTCTTTTTGTTTGCTCTTCTGTATACTCTACAATTTTGAAAGATGACCCCCTCCCTACCCAATTTCTAAAAAAAAAATTTAATTGGCCCAGAGATATCAAAAGAAAAAAGAAGGGATTTTTTTTATTCTGTCCAAAAAAAGAGGGGAATGTACATTTGCTTGAAACAGTTCCCAAATAACTATTTTACATCTTTGAGCACGTATAGAACCTTTTATTATGCCTCGCCTAAAATTTAATTTTTGTTAATAGCGTATCAAAGCTACTTCGTCTGTTTGATCAGGAGGA